CGCCAGCATAGCTCGCAACCATATAGGGGTACACAGGCTACATACCTGTTAGAACAATTTGGGCAAGTCTTTCATTTCCTGCTTTACTAACACATATCTATACACAATCTCAAGGAGAAACCCAGGAACAACCCTTTGACCTATCCACCCTTTCAGGACATAACAGAGCAAAGCAAATATATCCAGAACACGCCAAACCTGGGCAGTAGCCGCAGGTAAGCTAAAAACAAACAGACAAACAAAACAAACCAACTGTTCTGGTCCCTGTACCCATCCAAGGCTGGGGTGCCTTACAAGGCCCCAGCCTAGCCGGGACCCCTGTCACTCTAAAGGAACCCCACTATCCACCCTGACCTTATCCTTCCTCCACTGTGTTACCATGAATCTTCAGGCGCACTGCTTACCTGTGGCACCTCGCACAGGACTGCCCCGCTCTCCGTTCCACCAGTCAGAGGACCCTCCATGGCCCGCCCGACCCCCCTCCCCCTGTCCCCCTCCCCCCCCCCCCCCCCCCCCCCCCTTCCTCCCTCTCCACTACTCCCGGGACTGCCCCAAACACACCTGAATCTCCTTCTATAGTATTTTTTAAAGTATTTTTAAAAGCATTTCGTTCTGGAAACTTGTAGCAAAAGTACTGTCATTGTATCAAACTGTAGCTCTGGTATAGAAACCAGAAATTTATCCTCTTGTGGCTAAATCTGTCTGACGTACTCAATCATGGCATCTTATTTGAATGAGAACTAGAGGATAATAATTCATTCTCTTTCTGCCTCTCTCATTCACATTCGAGTGTTTGGGTTTTTTTAAATTTTTTTTAGGACAGTTTTCAGACTGATAACTAGCAGAGCTTCATGTACTATCTAACAAGAGTAGTAGTTTATTGCAAAATGTGGAAGCTTAAAACTGGCTACAAGACAAGCCTTCTTAAATTTATTATAGCATGTTTGCTTTTTTAAAAGAAGAATCCACTGCTCACCTAAATTATAAAGTAGCTAATAAATGAGTTGTACTGATTTACTTTGTGCAGCTGCAGAAATCAACTTTGATCATAGTGCTGTGGTTATATCAGTACAATGCTATTCAACATATAAGAAATTAAAAGAACTTTTTAAAGTATTTTCATTCTAACTAAAGATTTCATAATATGTATGTATGACCCGTCTTCGCAAACAAAGATTTTGGGAAAGGTCTTTTACCTTTCAAGCCTGCGCAATGGATTTTTTAGGTGAGACACAGCATGTGCTGAACTGAGCCCACCCTTTAATCCTAAGGTTCATCTGCCGGGGCCAAGCAAGCTTGGACAATGGCAGTGAGGTCCTCAGGACGTAGGTTTGTTTAGAGTGACCTTCTCATAGATGGATGACCTCACAGGGCTAACGAACTACACATAAAACACAACTGTATTTAAAGTGTTCTATTTAATACAATGTTTTAAAAAATAAACCTATAGAGATTTAATAGCCTATCCCTTCTTTAAAATTTAATTTTAATCCATCTATGTTTATCTCTTTTTTTCTCAGAAATATATTAGGTTAGTCATGTATAAGTTACTTTTTAAGTCTAAAGATATAAGTTAAAGAATACTCAGTAGTATGGGGAATGAAACATTGAAATGTACATACCAAATTTCTGAATCCTGACGTGTGATACTTATCTTTGCATTACTACTGAGCCTGTGTATTACTGCACATAAACAGATTTTCCCCTTTATTTTGTTTTCCAACATTCTCATGAGTGTACAAAGCTAAGCCATGGAAGAACTAGTATTTTTGTTGAGGGGACAAGAATGTATTTCAACTGAGAGGAAAGAAAGAGGGGAGAAAATAAGATGGAAAAAAACCCCTTGTAGGTTGAGATAAGGCAGTTTACTAAAGCAACAGCAAAGATGCCATGCACAAGCAAAGGGAAAAGATTTTTATTCTCTACTTCCCATCAGCGAGCGGTGTCCGGCAACTTCCCGGGAAGCAGGGCTTCAGCATGCCGAGTAGCTGCTCCAGAAGGCAAACGTCGTAAATAACAAATGCCCCCTCTTTCTCCTCCTTGTCTTAGCTTTTATATCTGAGCTGAGGTCATATGATCTGAGATATCCCTTTGGTCAGTCTGGGTCAGCTGGCCTGGTTGTGTCCTCTCCCAGGATCTTGCCCATCCCCAGCCTACTGCTGAGGGGGTAAATGCTGGGGAGGCAGTGCTGATGCTGTGCCAGCCCTGATCAGCAGCAGCCAAAACAGCAGTGTGTTCTCAACACCTTTCTAGATCCCAATGCAGAGCACAGCACTGGGAGGGTTGCTGTGGGGAAATGAACTCCAGCTCAATCAGACACAATATGCTTTATCTCAACCCACAAGATTTACCTTTTTTCAGATTCTCTCTCCCATTGCACTGGGGAGGGGGGAGTGACTGTGTGGTGTTTAGCCAGGTTAAACCACAACACACTTGAAAAAAAACCCAACCAACCAACCAACAACATTTTAAATTTAAAATTTCAATAGGAATTTTCTTTGTAATGTTAATTTGCAGTAAATGAGAATATACTTAATTGACAAAAAAGGGAAGAAGATAACATACAGAAGTAGTGCTTTAAATGTGTGGTTATTATCTGTAGCATAAACTTTTTTAATATTACTCTCCGTACTATCTAGGCTTGGCTTCACCTTTTTTTAATTGTGTATTATGTTATGATGATACCTTTTCATATATTATTCTCAGTATGTGCTGCCCTTTCACTATTTCCCTTTCACTAAGGGGTCCTTTGTATCACTTCCTTTGTGCACTGTAGTTTCTTCCTCCCTGGAATGTCTTTTACAATATCTGTTGTTTCTCATAAAGCAGTAAGAGTCTAAACATGTATATACTGAATATGCAAGACTATCTTTGCATATATGTAAATTGGGTTTCTACTTCTCTGAACTGCTACTCTGACGCATTGTTTAAAAGCTTTTCAATGCAACAGTTCTTTGATTTCCTTAATTCAGCTAATATTAAAGTAACAGTTTTCTTTTTTCAGTCTAGAGGCAGAAATGCTCGACTACTACTGGTAATAGATACTGCACAAAGCTGATAATATAAATATTGATAAATGTTGACTCGTTACAGTTGGGGAATGAAAAAACAAAACATAATAAAACTTGTCTGTTTTGACTTGTCTGGCTTGTCAAGCCATAATTATTGCATGATAGGGAAACATTGAAAAGTTTACTTCAGTGGTTTATAAAAACTTTGTGCAAGAAAAGTGCTTATAATATTAAGTTTGTTTTGCTTGGAATCTGTACATATGTATTAGCAGTGGTGTTATACGTTGTCATTGGTATGGCATAACAAAGAATGAGATAAAGATTATTAAGAAAATGACAGTGATATTTTGGTTTATATGTATTGTATATGTAATTTGCAAAAATGTGGACTTTTAAAGTAAGCGTAAGCAAATCATGATTTCAGAATCTTCAGTAAACAACAAAGTTCATTTAATTTATTTTGTCTTCAAAAAATATGCTAAATTTTTGTCATTTCATTAGTATAACAATAGTGGATTGTAATGTGTGATATTTGTAAATTTTTGTTGTTTTGGAAATGCAGTTCAAATTATTGTGATGATCTTTTTTCAGGGAGGTGGTGGGTGGTTTTATTTTGTTCTTCTGTTTGTTTGTTTTAAATAGTGTGGACTTCCTTACAATTGGGATCTTTATAGTGACTGAGAACTAGATGAACAAATTCCTTTTCAGTAGTTGAATATAAATTATGCTGTTTTACAGGAAATAAACAAGATAGTTCAGTGGTGACTAAACCTTTTCTTTCTGTGGAGGGGGTGAAACAGTTCCTGGTAGTAGTTTGACCAGAGAATGTTTAATATTAAAGATATATTTTTAGATAAATTTTCAAATGCTACTACTTTTTAAATTGTCCTGGTTTTGGCTGGGATAGAGTTCATTTCTTCTCAGTAGCTGGCACAGTGCTGTGGTTTGGGTTCAGGATAACAATAATGCTGATGTTTTGGTTGTTGCTGAGCAGTGCTTACCCTGAGTCAAGGGCTTTTCAGTATCTCAGGCTCTGCCAGGGAGGAGCTGCACAAGAAGCCAGGAGGGAGCATGGCCAGGACAGGTGACCCAAACTGGCCAAAGGGATGTTCCACACGATAGAATGTCATGCCCAGTATATAAACTGGAGGCAGTTGGTCAGGAGGGGCTGATCGCTGCTCAGGGACAGGCTGGGCATCGATCAGCAGGTGGTGAGCAACTGTATTGTGCATTGCTTGTTTCTCTTGGGTTTTATTCCACTCTCGTCTTTGGTTATCTCCCTTTTCATTACAAGTAGCAGTAGTAGTAGTAGTAGTAGCATATTTTACCTTATTTAAATTATTAAACCATTCTTATCCCATGTGTTTTTGCCTTTTTCCGATTCTCCTCCCTATCCCACCTGGGGTGGGCAGTGGGGGTAATGAACGACTGCATGGCACTTAATTGCTGACTGGGGTTAAACCATGACAAAAATATACTAAGATTTTGTATTTGTCACTTTGCTTACTGTTTGACTTTTGCACCTGTAAATTATTCCTTTTGTTTTTGCTATCTTCTTGTATGAAAAATATCTCCTCCAAAACTGAGAAGTGAATATAGCAGCTAATTACTTAAACTGATTATGGATTAAGCACTGTTCACTGCATTATGAGCCAGCAGTTTTATTACTAATTTTTGCATTGGTACCATATAACCTGAGTAATTTTTATTTTGATTGCCTTATGTTGAATCTTTTTTGGTGAAGGGCTCTGCTTCTGAAACCAGAAGCTTGCCTTTTGATTGCTTAATGCCATTTAATATTTAAATTCTACCTTGTTCTACCCACTTTTGACAAAATTACTTAGAATGCATCTGAGATTATGGTCTATGTTTCATTTATGTTATTGAATTTAAAATTCTTTTAAGTAAACAGTTTTAATTTGGTTTTGTGGTTTGTTTTTTTGTGTGTGTGTGTTTTCTGTGTTGTGTTTTTTTGTTTGTTGTTGGTTTTTTTTTTAGTGCTTGGGAGATGGGAAGTAATGATAGCTGGCACCTGAACTAAAATATCTGTGTAGGCGCTACCATCCCAGAACTTCAGGATGAATGGGGATATGCCTCATGTTCCCATCACTACTCTTGCAGGGATTGCTAGTCTTACAGACCGTAAGTACTCTTCTTTTTTTTGTCTTTGCTATGTTCCCTTCTACCTCTTCAGTAAATACCTGCATTTTCAAAATACTAAAAACAGTTTTATTTTTAAAGTTCTTAAAAGTAAATCTGTTCAAAACCAGATTTGGTATTAAAATATTTTTTGTCCTTGCTAGAAGTTTAAAAATATATTCAAACAAAATATGCTAATTTAAACATGAAATGAAATGTAGGTTAAAAAAAAAAGCCCTGAAGTACACCCGGAACATAAAATATAGGAATTCATTGTTCATTTGGAATATCATTTGGTAACATATCTGGGAACCCCACAAATAAAGAAAAACATATAAATGATAAAATACTCTAAAACATGCATATCATCATCTTCACTGGAGAGATAGAGAGAGAGATGATTAGACTGATGTTCAGCTAGAGAGAGTTGTGGAATATGCTGAATATACTTGAAACCTAGTTCCTTAGTTTTGGACAAAGTACAAAAAAGTTGCTCTAATTAACAAGTGCAAAGAATGGCTGCTAGAATGGAAATAGGCAGCTGAACCTATGAGGCTTCTTTCTCATCTGTGAGTAGATGAGGTGGGTGTACTGTCTTTAAATATGTCAGGAAGACAAAATGCAAGGAATGAAAAAGAACTATTTACATGGTTAGAATCTGACAAAAAATAAATTTCTAGTGGAAACTAAGAGGAGATTTATCATTACTACAATGAAGTCCTAAAACAACCATTCCAATAAGAGAAATTGGGACAAAGGTGGATCTTTTTTATAAAGTGTAAGCAAGAGTTAATAGCTCAGTTGTCTGACCGAGGATAATTGAACTCAGTGATCCAAGTGCTTATTCTGAGCTCTTGTTTTTATTATTATACTGTTGAAATTTGGAGACTTTCCAAGAGACACTAAAAGTATATACCCAGCAATTGAATTTAATTGCCTATAGTAAAAAAAAGTAAATGCATTCAATGGGGGGGAAAAACCACTTCTTGTCTTTCTCATATTCTGAATTATCAAATCAGAAGATGCTGCTTATGTATTTTTATATGTATCATTATGTGTGTCTAATTATGGGCCATCAGGATGCAAATCATAAGTTTCTGCGCTATGGGCTGTTTTCCAGCACTAAGTATTTGCAGGTAAGGTTCTCAAGTCAAAATACTCTAACTGATAGAAGCCACTGGCTAGACTCCCAGTGCAAGAGTTTCTTAAAACACTGAACTACCTTTGGTGGGATAAACCCTTGTGTTAGGTGCATTTCCTTCTTTATCTGTCATATTTCTCTGATGTTCAGAAACTCAAAAGTGTGTGAAAGAGAAAGGCATGTCACTGCTTTACCTTATTCCTCTTTGTGTGAAAAGAAGGTACTGGAATGGACAAGTCTTGTTGCCCTAAAAACATGGAGGACATGATGACTAGAGGCAGTAGAGTAGGCTCAATTTACTAGATGAATTTATACTGTTTTAATAAATATGTTTAGCTGATCTTACTAATTTTTCCGAGTTTCAAGACACACTCAAGGTAATCTAATGCAAGTAGTGAAAGCTAGCTATTTTGATATATTAAATTTTTTTTCAATTGCAGTTTATTTATAAATACAGAATAATATACATTGTATGGGGGGAGAAAAATACTGAAATTCTGCCCGTCTCCTGTGGGGTTTTTTTAATAATTTCAAAATATAAAAGAGACAAAAGACTTTTTTTTTTGTTCTGTAGCTATTTTTAATGTAATCAGCCTGGGAACTTGAAGTCAGAGTCAGCTTGTTTTTGTGGACCCATGAAAGTGGGTTGTTAAGGTTTTTTGGTGGTATTTTTTGTTTGTTTGTTTTAAATGACCCTCACCATACAAAGTGGGAACACTAATTAAATCTCAAGGTCAGAATAGAAAACATTTCCTTCCTTACCTTTGTCCATGCTTTCAGCTCCAAGAGAAAACTGCCATAACATTAAATAACTTAGTATTCTGGAATGTTTAAAAGTATGTTTTTATTAATAATACTTGCCTTAGCACAGTTAAATATTTACAATAATATAACTTATGGATTTGACTGCATTTGTGTAAAACAGAGTCCTGCCTTTGTGTGTGCGTGTTCATGGTTAAAAAAAAATCCAGAAATCTTTCCTATATTTTGAATGTAGTTGTCAGGTTTTCTTTCTTAATCACATGAGGGAGTAAGAAGGTGTCCATCTTTGTATGCTCATGTTTTGTGAAATGATTCTGAACTCCTTTCTGTTTTCTGATAACAGTTTTGAACCAGCTGCCTCTTCCATCACCTTTACCTGCTACAACAACAAAAAGCCTGCTTTTCAATGGACGGATAGCTGAAGAGGTGAACTGCCTTCTGGCTTGCAGGGATGAAAATCTGGTTTCACAGCTCATCCACAGTCTCAATCAGGTGTCAACAGATCACATGTATGTATTTTGAACTTCAACTATATTAGATCATCATCCTTATTACTTGAAATTAAAGTGAACTGAATTGAGAAGGGTGTTTGTGAGAATCTGAAGATTATAATGTGCCATTTTTTTTATTAGACCATCTTAGCAGATTACTGCTGTATAGGAATCAATTGTTTCAGTCAGTCAAAATGCTAGTCATTGTCTGACAGACCTTATGTGTAACAAATTTTTTTTTAATAAATCTGCTGCTTGTTCCATTCTTACTAGTTAGGAGTGCAAACTTTGTAGTATTGATTGTGCAATAGTCATTTGTGTTCCAATTTGATTAATAATGTACACTGACAAATTATATATCCAGTATTATACAAAAAGATACTTTTTTGAGACACCCATGCAAGATCTATGTCGGTTATGATTAGATATTGAACTTAAATATTTTAAGAATTGAACCAGCAATTATGCTAATGTCGTCTTTTTGTTAATATATATTTTGTTTTTTAATATTTCACTGGTGTCCTTTGAATTGTCTTATGTTGACAGCCCTGTCTTTTTCCTACATGTTCCAATCTATTATTTTGATCAAATGGAAGTAGCTCTTAAAAGTCATCAATGCAAAGAATAAGTGAAAGTACGGATGCATTTATAGAAAATCCATTACATTTTTGATGGTTCAATGGGAATCCTGTGATGTCAAAGATATGCCAATTTCCCTTTTTAAAATAAAAGATTCTCAAAGGGTTGGGCTGCAACCTGAATGTTATGCATTCATACATATCTTATTTTCACTCCTACAACAGTACTTTCTTGACGTTATGACAAAGCATTCTTCTTTTATGGAGAAGTGGACACAAGAAGCTTTTTATAATACTCTGAAACTGACAACCATGTATATATAAGTGCTTATTAACAGAAAATAATTTTGAAGGCTAGTAGGAATACCTTTTCTGCCATTCCTTTAGCATGAGAGGAAAAAAAGTAGAGGTAGGGAACAGTGCTTTGAAGATTTGTGGAGGTTTTTTCTATATTTTAACAGTAAAATGTTGTCTTTTTGTTTTGGTTTTGATTGTTTTGGTTGTTTGGGTTTTTTTACTTGATTCATGATTTTTTATAATTTTAAAATGCATTTGCCTCTTTATTTGCTTACTTCCACTATTCCAGAGAATTGAAAGATAACCTTGGCAGTGATGATCCAGAGGGAGATATACCAGTCTTGCTGCAGGCTGTCCTGGCAAGGAATCCTAATGTTTTCAGGGAGAAAAGCATGCAAAACAGATATGGGGTACAAAGCGGTAAGGATTTTTGATTGACTATTGATTGTTTTTTATGTTGTTCTGTAAGTTTAGGGGACTGGTACTAACCACAAATATATATGGAGCACAACTGTGATATTTATGCCTTACCTTGTATTTGATAATGACATAAAGCTATGTGTCTTGAGATCTTCTAAGAGCAATTGCATTAGAATAAGCACAGAAATACACTCTACTAGGTATTTTTTTAAAAAATGATGTTGAATTTCACTACAAAATTTAATTTCTAGGATGAGTGATTGGATATTATTTTAAAACAATTTTATTTGAATTTCTTTATAGCTAGGTTCATATATTTGTCTTAGTAAATAATTTAAGTTGGGAAAATATGCTTTGATCTATATTGAAAATCTGTACAATTATAGTTTATCATTATAATGGTATTTCTTAATAGTTCTGTGGTAAGGAATAAGGTTGAATTAACCATACATAACATCTCCTTCTTGCCATTCCTCTTCTCAGCAATTTGTGATGCCCTACAGATTTTACTGTTTCTATAGCTAATTCTTTTCTGAGGTTTAGTGAGATATACTGCTGGATGGCAAAGATGGAGAAGGGGAGAGACCAAGCAAAGGATTAATCAGACAGATTCTATTTGTAGATCTGGAGACTTCTTCATTTGCACCTGAAATCTTTTCTTCAAATACTAAACTATGAAATGAGTGGGTGAATTTTCAGTTTTCACAATGTGAGGATAAAGCTTTACTAGCATTGTAGAGATATAGATAGAAGTGTGTGCTGGTTTAAAAGTTAACCAGCAGGGGAAATGAACTCAACTCAAAAGAGAGATTATAAGTCAGAATAACAATTTATTAAAATAATACAATAAGTACGATTATACAGACAGACAATTGGTTTTAACCCGCAAAACCCAAATGTATAACCCAGCACCCTGGGGCATGAACACAAGTGGTGTTCCTTGCCCCCCCCCGAGTCCAAAGTAAAGGGAGAGGGGAAAAACCTGCTGGTGGGAGAGCTGCTGCAGTCTGGTCAAAAAGTGCTGATTGCAGTCCAGTCGAGGGTGGTGGTCTCAGTCTGGTTGAGAGCAGTGAGCTGCAGTCTTCCTCTGGATCCCACGAGTGGTAAAAAGGTTCCAAAACCCCAAGTTTACATATTCTCCAGTTCAGGCAGGAATGCTCAGTCCTTCCCTCAGAGTGGGGAATTCCATAAAAGGGCATGAGGACAGGAACATCTTCCTATCTCGCAGGCCTCTTAATGCCTAGTTTATAACCTGAGGAGTCAGGCTGCTCTGGGCAGAGGGTGTAAATGCTCTATTGATAACAGTTTCTGGGAAATGGCATGGAAGGCTATAGAATACACAGGTTGGGATTACACCCATCCAGTGATGAATTGGTCCCAGCTGTTCTAACTAGGACAAAGTGTTACTGGAGTCCACAGGGGATAGAAAGTGTCAAGGTGTTTTTGGAGGGGAAAAAATAATAAAATTAGATTATTAAGTTCATTCACCTAGGCTAGTGAGTAAAAAGCAATACAGTATTTGAAAAGAACTTGCTAAGGACAGGACACATATTGTTCCTTGAAAGAATGCAGAAATTTCCAGGAATGAAAATGATAAAGGAGTGCTAAATATTTAGTAGGTCATTGATACCTACACCCTGAAATATAAGCTCTGAAAACAGTCTCCAGGTTCTGGGTTTGGTGGTAGCTGTTGAAGAGTATGATTTTTCCAGCTGCTGGAAGAATTGTGACTGTCCTGCCAGTTTTTGCAGAGTGGTTCCACAAAGAACATATACTTGTCCTGGTTTCAGTTTGGATAGAGTTAATTTTCTTCTTAGAAGTTGGTACAGTGCTGTGATTTTTTGATTTAGTATGAGAATAGTGTTGATAACACACATTTTTCCACCAGTTTTGTAGAGTAAAATAATTCTTTTCCAGTGCAAAAGAGAGACATTGTTTTTAAAATTATTTGTTCCTGCAGAGGTTTTTGAAGGAAAGAAGATATAGCGAGTTAGATTCTTTCTAATTTTTTCTAATTCTGTGCTTCAGAGGGGAAAACACTTTTGCAGCTCGATTCAATAGATTAAGAATAATCCTTAATGAAATAAAACCACCTATAGTACATCTCATTCAGATCTCCGAGGCCAAAGGAGGGTATACTGATGTGTTCTGACAGCAAAGGTTGGGCTTTCTTCTGCTTTCTGAACAGATTTTGTAATCTCTGTAAAGTCATGATTTGTAGAACACTTGGGAATTTGGTAGAGACCTTATGTAATGCATTTTGCCAGCTATAAGAATGAAATTTAGGCTTTTTTCTAGTATTTCAAATTTACCTCTTCTGTTTTCCTTACTGTCTTCCTTCTGAATATTGTCCTTTTGCCTTCTCTTGAGTCTAACATGTGGTGAAGTCAGTGCTGGGTACTGTGGTCCAGTATTTGTAATGCCCAGAATTGAGAAGGAATGAAGGCAGCATGATGCCTGGTCTATTTACTCAACCTGGAGTGGGCCTCTGCACCATGATCCCTTGAGCATCAGTTCCAGCATTAGTGTGGACAAACTGAACTCAAATTCGTTTCTCCCAACCTTTTTCTGTGATGGTTTTAAAACTCAGCGGGAAGACCACACCCACTCAAACCACCCCCTTTCAATAGTGGAGAAAAAAATACTAAGAGGATTATAAGTTAGAGTCACAATTTACTGAAGAAATTGCAATAAACACAACAATAATAGTAAAAGATTGTACAGAAGAGGGAAAGGTTTAACCAACAAAAGCAAAGTGTTGCCTGGCCCCCCTAGGACAAAACTAAAATGGCGTCTGTTCCCACGCTGTGCGCCATGTGGTCTCCCCCAGACAAAAACAAAATGGTGTCCGTTCCCGTGCTGGATGCCATATGGCAACCCCCACCCCCCCGCCAAGAACAAAGGCAAGATGGTGGAGAGGCTCTCCTGGCTCAAACTCCCCCAAACTGAGGTGTGGCAATGGGCACATTCTCTCTCTCTGCTGTGGCAGCAGTGACGGTGGCAGCAGTAGCAGGAAGAGTGGCGGTGACCGCAGCGATGAAGGTGCTGACAAGGTGTCTCCTGGTGGTGGTGGGCAACTCTGCTGCGCTCTTTTTTTTCTGCCCCACTCAGCTGGACTGGGGGTTACCCCTGCCGCTCCGTTCCCTATGGCAACCTCCTGCACCGGAGCTGTCCTTTTGGCACCACCACAAAGCTGCGGCTCAGAAGGCACAGGTAGGGAACTGGCAGTGGTGGAGGTGCAGTCTGGGTGGTGGCTACATCTCCCAAGAGCTGGGCAAGAGAAAATGGTGACACTTCTGGCCCCCCCGCTTTTCCTAGTGAAACCACCCCCACAGGGTGGTGATGTGGGTGGTATCGAATATTCAACACTAAAACTCTACCCCCTTGCTATTTTCTAATGCAAGAACAGAAAGACCACCTGGCTAAAGAATTAAATTAAATGTGGAATAAAACTCTTGGTTCAGTACAATTTGTCAGGAAATAAAGACCTCTTCAGAAACCTAAATATTATGTGTGGAATACTTGTGAATATAAGGTAAAGCACAAGTAGAGTTCTGTGCTGAAGTTTTTTTCCACAGTCATATTGATTTGTAGCTCAACATTAAGTTTAGAGCCAGAATTGTTTTTAGTTATGATGAACAAATAGTGCAAGAAAGATGTATTATGTGAATACTTAGTATCCTGGGCGTAGGACCCTCCCCCACCACCTCCACCCCTGAAAGATTGCTGGCATATTTCATTTCAGGTAATGTAGCAGCAGTGTTCAAACCCTTATTCCATGTCTTGTGATAATAATGCCATTGTTGAAACAGAGTTCATGCAGATAAGATGTTTAATTAGATTTTTCAGACTGTTTTCTATTACTAGGTTGTCTGAACAGACTGAGTCACATCACCGTGCAGCATCAGTACAAGGACAGCATGTTAATTTTATTTTAGACCTTTTTAATCAAATGACAGAGAAAGTTCTGGGTGCTGTCTTTCAACTACATGTCTTGTATCTTATAGTGTAGGAGTGAAGTGGATTTCTTTATAATTATTTATTTAAAATTAAGCTATTATTTAATTTCAGTTTTCATAATTTTTTTTTCTCTTCTCAACATTTTGGCTTTGTCTTTCAGCAGATGTGTGTTAGAAGATCAACTAAAATAATATATTGCAATAGGTTAGTCTTCATAGCATAGCTTAGGGTGCAGAAAGGACTTAAAATTCACTTTAAACTATTTACCACAACTTGAACATTTTTGAGGATTAAAATCTTATGCATCTTTCCATAAGCATCAGTTGCTTTGATATTTTTTCATTTATACGAGAATTCAAATGCACATTTACCTTTAAAATGGAAAAACTTTATAGACATATGCTTTCAAGAAGAGTATATATTTAACTGAAAAATCACCTTTTGGTGAGCAGCCCTTGCTTAAGCGTGCATGATGCTGTAATACAGTTTAATCATACAAGACTTTGTCTGTGATCTTGAGCAGTGTTTTCACATTCTTTGGCATTTAGTAGGAACGCTAAAATGGATTTATACGTATCACTTTTTTCTGAGCAAAAAAAATTATAGTCATGACTGGGAGTATGTGTTAAGGAAACAAAGCTGACTGAGACCCCTGATGCCTTAAGGAGCTGAGGAAAAAAACTCTAAAGCAATTTAATTGGAGATGAGATAAAAGGGTTTAATTGAGTAACAAGACGCATGCACCCCTCTGTACAGATGTTACAATTTATAATATTGCTTGTCCAATCCCAGGTTTCGTCCACCCACTGACTTTTGCCCTGGACCACCCTCAGTCACACCCCTTGGGAATTGGGGCTAGGGGCTTTTCAAGACCCCTTCTTCATCGTCTTCATCTTTTTTGGGGCACAGGGGGCACACGTTTACCCAGTTCTTGACTGTACTCTTGCGGTTTAGGCCAAGGTACAAGTGTTCTCTAAACAAAATGGGTCTACTCTTAAAGAGAGACTAAACATTTTCTACTGGAATTCAGGGGATAATGATATGGGAGCATGGAATGGGGTGATGGGGTAGGGGAATGTATGTAGTTTCTATGCTAAGGGTAAGTGAATAAGGGTTGCTGCTTCTAAAATCTACTTCTACTATATAACTACTTATAAAGCTTATAAAAATTAGGAAAATAAGAAAAAAACAGATGGACCTTACGGCATCACCCCAGAGCGCTGCGCAGCCCTTTAGAAGGACCTCAACAGGTTGGAGAGATGGGCAGAGAAGAACTGTCTGAAATTCATTAAAGGCAAATGCAGGGTCCTGCACCTGGGGAAGAATAACAGCACCAGTATAGGCTGGGGCTGACCTGGGGGTCCTGGTGGACAAGTGTGTGCCCTTGTGGGGTGCATTAGGAAGAGCATTGCCAGCAGGTCAGGGAGGTGATCCTGCCCCTCTACTCAGCCCTGGCGAGGCTTCACCTGGAGCACTGTGTCCAGTTCTGGGCTCCTCAGGACAAGAGAGACATGGAGCTCCTGGAGCAGGTCCAGCAGAGGGGTACAAAGATGATTAGGGGACTGGAGCATCTCTCTTATGAGGAAAGACTGAGGGAGCTGGGCCTGTTCAGCCTTGAGAAGACTGAGAGGACCTCATCAATGTATCTGCAGGGAGGTGTCAGAGGATGGACCAGGCTCTGCTTGGTCGTGCCCAGCAATAGGACAAGAGGCAATGGGCACAAACTGATGCCCAGGAAGTTCCACCTGAACATGAGGAAGAACTTTCCTGTGCGGGTGACTGAGCACTGAACAGATTGCCCAGGGAGGTTGTGGAGTCTCCCTCACTGGAGATATTCCAGAACCATCTGGACACAATCCTGTGCCATGTGCTCTGGGATGACCCTGCTTGAGCAGGGAGGTGGGACCAGATGACCCACTGTGGTCGCTTCCAGCCTGACCCATTCTGGGATTCTGTGAATGTTATTACTAGGATGATGTTTTCTCAAAACCGAACATTACCAACAATCAAAATTAAAGTTGCATTTAAAAGAAATTATTAAGTATTTTAAGGTGTGGAAATGAACAGTGGAGCCATAAATCTTCTGCTTAGTGATATGAACAACAATGTAAAAAATGTACAAGAAGATATTTTACTGTTAATAGCCACAGACTAATTTCAACTCCTCTTTAGACTAAATGTTAGGGCTTAGTTTTACTCCTTCTTCATTACATCATTACTAGACTTATTAGCTGTGTGGAAACTTTGGAGACACTGTTGTGGTGGGGGGGTTTTTTGTTTGGTTGTTTGTTGCTGTTTTGGTTTTTTTAGTGGGGAGGGGGATGGGTAGTGGGGATTTTGTGTGTTTTCTTTGGTTGTTTTTTTTAAAGTTATCTAGACTGTGTCCCTCATGTATTGTTTCTTCCCCAACAGAGATAAAGAGATGAGAACTGCCTGTCACAGAATAAGTTTAAGTTTTTTAAATGGCATTTAAAATTGATTAATTTTTATATTTTCTGTAGTTCTTTTAAAGCAAAAACTACTGCATCTCTGGTTCAAAACATTTTAAATTTAGAGAGGAGAAAACAGATAGATATATTTTTCAAGTATTTTAAAAGTGCAGGCTTTGCTTTAAGCATAAAATTAAACTTCTGTATAGTTCATAGTCATACAGCACATTCTGTCAGCTTTCTGTACACGGATGTTAAGGGTTATGTAGCACTTTGAACCACGTTAGAAATCTAAAATCCAATTTTCAGGCTTCCCCCACCCCTTCCCACAATTATCCTAACACCGGAGAGAAACTTTCAGATCAGAGGCTTCTGTAGGGGAAAGGGGAAGTATATACATTTATTTACACAAATAAATACTATATAAACTAAAGACAACTATATATATATTACATTTCTATCAATCAGTCCTTTCAAGCCCCTCCTTTAAGTTTAGTCCAGGAAAGAGCCTTTTCAAGGCTGGAAAGTAACCAGTCCCTCTGTGGGAGTGTTCTGGGCCTGAATGCTCCCCCCTCACCAAGTTCCAGTTCTTTTGTTGTAGTCTCTCCTCCTCATGAAGTCCAAGAAGATAGCTTTGAGTCCTTGCTCTCCTGCCGCTGTGTGATCTCTCTCTCTCATACCTTGGTTCGTAGGCTGCTGCAGTGTAGTTCTGGTTATCAAGCGTCCACGTCCTGGCATGTGGATTTCTCCTCAGGTTTTCGGTTGTCCTGCGTGGCAGAGACATCCTCCGGACCCCTTTCTCTCTCTCTGGGGGTCCGTCTCCAATTTCACTTGGGACTCTTCTCCCGAGCGCCGGGCCTACCTCCACGGTCCGTCCACTTGGCTCAGCTTCAATGCTGAACCTCTCCTCCACTTACAGTGGAGGGACAGAAAAGCCCCCCTCCACAACTTTACTGTAGAAAAGGAGGGGGGAGAGAGCTTGGCTACAAAAGCCTGCCTCTCTCCTCTTACCTCAGGTGCTGTGAATCTCTTCCTTCACAGCACATACTCCAAATGTTGCTTCCAACTCCGGCTCAAGCAGAGTTGGGGGGTCGCAGGGCCCCCCTCTCCCCCCCCGGAGGGGAGAGAGGGAGCCCAACCACCCCCTGGCCTTCTCCACCTACCCGCAGCAGACACCAACAACTAGACACCAAGACAGAACTTGCCAACCCCTTCCGGTGCTGTGATATATGATTTTTAGCAGAAGCAAACAACATGAATGGTGATTGACCCTCTAGGGAACACTACCCTGGCACCCAATCACCTCTGAGCCCCCCTCTCTCTCGAGGGGGGGCCAATTTCAAACTATGACAGGTTAGTAGTTTGACTAACTTCTATCTAGCTGTGGTGAGAGTGGCTGTGAGAGGTGAGCAGGCAGTGGGCATGCTGGGTGCTGCCTCCAACACAAAACCTCTGGAGTTTTCTCCTCGCCTCTGTGCAAGACAACCAGTGTTCATTTAATCAAATTTTGCAGGAATTGAGGAATCCCCTTCTGTTACTCTGGGCAATGAAATGTCCTCTGTACTGAAGTATGGAAGTATCTTATTTATTTATTTATTTATTTTTCATCACAATATGAGAATTTCACTCCTGCTCTGGGCTGTGCTAATATACTTGGAATGCAGCACTTCATACATACCAGGAAGTAGTAACGGCTTAATTCCTGGGGGATTATCCCATCACTTCTCTTTTGGGGAGAGGGGAAGAGAAAAGAGGATGACAAGGAGGATTTCTAAAACTAGCTTTGCTTGTGTGAATATTGCAGTAATTGGTTATAGTAATCCAAAGATTGATGACTTCCAAACACTCTGGGTTAGGGACTACTGTCAGCCATCTATCTAACCTTTGGTTTAAACATTTGCACTACTGATGTGCTTTTACCCATGGCTTTGGATCACTTGCTGTGGCTTCCTAAGCTGCAGTGTGTATGTGAATTCTGATGCTGTTTTAGCTGCAAGACATTCAGTTCTGTCATTAAGATCACCTGGTTAAAAGTCATATAAGTTTTTGTGTACCTGTACCACTTCAACTTCCAGTGTCATGTGGTGGTTAGAAATTCTTTGTATTGAACAGAGGAAACAAAAATGATTCATTTAAATTCTCCCTAATAAAGATGCAAGTTGATTTCAGTCCCATTTGTACTTGTGGCTTGCCATCTAGTACAACTCCTGAATTTTCAAAGCATGACTGTGGAAATCTACAGGCTGTTGAAGTCTACAGATGGGATATTGGTGGTTCTTTGCAATTGAAAATATTTCAGCACCTTCTTTGATAACATTCTTTATAAGTGTGGTCTAGGTGGAATAGAAAGCTGTTGTCCCTGGGTAGAAAAGAACTACTAAGGTATTAGGGGAAAAGGGAGAATATCTTGCACCACTCAGCCCGAGATGACTGTTTGCTGTACTTGTTCTAAAAATGGGAGATAAGTTTTCTGTGTTCTTCTGACTTGTTGTGAAGTTTCCAAATCTTATTGGTACAATGAGTATTCCACAAATCAGTCTGGAGTGTGAAGTATATGTCCTGTTATAAAATCTCTCTATTTACTAGCACGTTTTTGGCTAAGGAACAGATGAAGGAACTGCCATTGATATTTATAACTGAATTAACACTGCTTTAGGGAACACTCTTTTTATGTCATGGTGTAAAATGGACATCTTATATGAAATCGATCTTTTTTTAATGTTTTCTAACAGTTGTAGGTAAAAGATGATAATGTTTTAAAGTTTGTAATATCTTTGTATATAATAATTTCTGAAATGAGAGACTTCATTAATTGAAAAGGAAATGCATGTAAAGTAATGCTGCTATCTTCTTCTTAATAGGGATGATGATGTCGCAGTTTAATATTTCTCAGAATTCCATGAGAGGTAGTCCTGCATCTTCTAATTATCAACAAACCACTATCTCACATAGCCCTTCCAGGTAACACTCTCTTTTAAATGGGGTGGAATGGGCAACAAACTGCAAATTCTTCCTACAGTGACAGTCAATTCTTGTTGCAAGTATGTGAGTGAAAGGTGATCAGTGTCAAGACATATTTTGCATTTGTCTGACAGCAGGGTGAGTTTCTTCAACTGTCAAAGAAATATCTTTTTGCTAGTGAGTTAATCTTTGTATTCCAACTAGTCAGGATTCCCCGCTCTCTCTCCCTCCCATAATTTTGGCAAACTCTTTCCTGCTTAAGTAATCCCCCTGCCTCCTGACACCCCTTCAGCTATTCTCTACCTGTGGCAGAGGTTGAGACTGGTGGCAGGAGGATAGAAGAGGCTGTGTGTTCCAGCATGTATAACATTACCAGTGTGACAGAAGGATGGGAAAGAAGGCTTGTAAAAACATGGAATACTGCTGTAACAATTATCCAAAAGGTTGCTCAGAGGAAGATAGGCCCAGTAATTTGGCCGGTCTTCCAGCAACTTCCTCATCAATTTTCTGGTTCTTTTTCAAACTTTGAGTGTCAGCAAGTAGCATGTAGTTATGGAATCATTTAGTTTGGAAAAGACCTCTAAGATCATCAAGTCCAACCATTAATCTAACACTGCCAGGTCCACCACTAAACCATGTCCCTAAGTGACACATGAACATGTATTTCAAATACCTCCAGGGTTGGTGACTTAACCACTTCCCTGGGCAGCCTGTGCCAGTGGTTGACAAACCTCTTGGTGAAGAAATTTTTCCTAATATCCAATCTAAACCTCCCCTGGAGTACCTTGAGGCCATTTCCTCTTGTCCTATCACTTGTTACCTAGAAGAAGAGACTGACCCCCACCTTGCTACAACCTCCTTTCAGCGATAAAGTGTCCCCTGAGCCTCCTTTTCTCCAGGCTAAACTATCCCAGCTCCCTCAATCTTTGTTAATATAATAAAGTACTCTGGACTAGAGGAAAGAATTCTGCATGTAGTTTCAACCCAGTTACTGGGCTGTAACATTTAATTTCCAGTTATTAGATATCATTATTAAAATAAACTTATTTCACTTACTGAAATTGTTTTGTCAAATTAAATACTCTGTATCTGCACAAAAAAACAGTACAAATTTTTACTTTTATATCTAAAAGTGATATTGAAAAAAATTTTTTGAATAGTGAATATTACAATATGCTAGGTCTTATTGAAATCCTTGCAAAATCCTTGTGTTATATACTTTGCTATTTCTATCTATGGAAGCTTACCTTCATAGAGTTCCTATCTAAAAGCAAGGATTGTGAAAGCATGTACTTTCTGAAGTATATTTTTTTTTAATTTTTGTTTTGAAAAAGCTCATATAAGAATGTAGGTTATAATGTACATGTATTATTGTCATATGCCTATTTTGTTTTTATGACTTTCTATCTTTAGGAGTCTGAGATAAAGCCAGTGAAAGAATAAGATATATTCAGTAGACTTTGGGTCAGGTCCTGCCTATCACATTCCTATATCTTGGCAGTATTGTTTTGTTAAATGAAGTTCTTTGAAATCTTACTAGAAAAATCATATTTAGAGTAGATGGCTCCTTGTTAATCCTAGCAAGATAGTTGTTATATGATAATTAAACCTTAGCTGTCACCTTCATTCAAACTTCTAGGACTAACTTTGGGAAATTACATATCTTGTTTTAATAAATCTGAAGATCTTATTTTGTCATTGTTTCCTTTTCCTAGGTGGAGGTCTTAAAATGCTTTTTATTCTGTTCTTTACTTTTACTAATGCCATACCTAAACTGTGGCTCTTAAGTAATAATTGAAGTTGGTAAGGTATTGATAGCTGAAAATACTGCTTTTAAAGGGGTTTCTTGATTGCATTGAAATTTTGCCTCTTACAGAAGTTATAATGTTCCAAAGGTATAATATTCCAAAAGAAATAAGAAACTTGTATAAATTTCCTTTTCCAACTTTGCAAACTTTTTTAATTTTTATTTTTAGCCGGTTTGTGCCACCACAAACAAGCTCTGGTAACAGATTTTTGGCACAACAGAATAGTCCAGTGCCTAGTCCATATGCTCCTCAAAGTCCTGCAGGATACATGCCATATTCACATCCTCCAAGTTATACACCACATCCTCAGATGCAGCAAGGTAAGTCTTTGATATTCATTTTATTCTCCTATCTCATGTCAACTTTACCTCCGTGTGTGTTTCACGGCTCTCTAATTTCTTTGAAGGAGTCACATGCTTAATGCAAATCTTGGAGTTGATAGGGAATTTTTTGGGTATGTTTAAGCTTTGCTTTCCTGACTGTACAGAGTGGTAGTATTTATTTTATTTCAAAAAAAACCCAAACGAAGGAAGAAGAAATCATCAAACACACAGAATCACAGAATATTCTGAGTTGGAAGGGACCCACAAGGATCATCAAGTCCAACTCTTGGGTGAATGGCCCATACGGGGATCAAACCCACGACCTTGGCATTACTGCTCCTCTTCTACGTACACCGATTTTGCATATTTGTCACGTATACATGACAATAGAAAAATAAAAAAAACCCTAAAACTTTTATTTGTTAGCTATGGCAATTATTTGTATTAGCAAAAACCTAATTTTTGCCAGTGTAATGTAAGTTTTGCTGCCACCTTATTTAACTTTACAAAACCTTTGCAGTGTAGGCTAGACTAAGTTGTCCAGATTTATATTCAAGGTATGCAGTAACTGGCAAAGATGACCTTCAGAATAAATGGACATCTTTGTTCTTCCTTTTTCTAAAACCAATCTTGAACAACATGAACACTATGAAGTATCTAGGCGTTATCCTTTTTTGTAAGTAGAATTCTTGTTAGATTCTTTTAAATCATCTGTTCTTAAAGTTTAACAATGTGCTTAGAATTTATATCGCTGTTCCATATGTAATGTTATATATCTCATTAATATCTTGGAAGTTACTAAAGGTAGTGTATATGTATTATGTAGAGGAAAATAAAGTTTTCTATAACCTATAAGTGTATGATACTGACTGTAGTTAGGATAGATGTGGAAAGAAGCTTGTCTAATCTGTACATGGAATTTAGGTTTTAAAGCCTCTTGAAAATTCAAATCTTAGATACCTAATTTTATTCAAGGTATTTGTGGCAAAAGGATTCAATGAAGAAAGTTGGGATTCTTGTTCAGATCCCAGAACTCTTGCATCCAACTCATTAATATTATGGTGTTTTCTGTGAAATTTTTGAGTTAACTGTTGTGTGAATATATTGGTATAGTTATTTATATTTTTCTGTATTTCAGCTTCGGTATCCAGTCCCATTGTCACAGCTGGGATGAGGAATCTCCATGAAAATAAAGTTTCAAGTCAATTGTCTGGAAATTCAGCTAATCATCATGCTGATAATTCTAGACATGGCTCAAATGAAGACTACCTACAAATGGTGCACAGGCTAAGTAGTGATGTATGTTACCTAGATCAGTTTATGATGATAAAACAAATATTTACTATGATAAAGCAAGTATGTGTTAAGCTGCCCTAGAAGTCAGATATTTTATGATGATGCTGTTGATGAATAAAACCATTGAAAATATATTTCAGTTTCAGATGTGTGCACTCAAATGTGAAACTTTAATGTGCAAGTTTCAATTTTTTTCTAGATCTCTTCCCTTTGGAACAGTTTGTAACATTCATTCTGATCAAAATATGAAAAGTAAAAAATCCTACTCATATGTGAGTTTATTTTAAAGAAATTATAGAGTTTCTCTGCAATTATTGTATCAATATGTTGATGAAAACAATACTAGATTCTAAATAGGTGTATAGTTAACTTGTCTTTCTGAAGATTCCTTTAACTGTCAATTAGACTTGACATAATTGCATAACCTATTGAGTAATATAGTAGTGTGGTCAAAGGCAAAAATTTCTTTTAACACTTTTTCTTACAGGTCTGTTATGTGCTTTTATGGCCTGGTTTATTTATAACATGTTTTCCCATAGTGACTTTGGGAGAAATTCTTGCTGAGGCCTTGAAGATAAATGAAAAAAAACCAGCAACTTTCTCCCATGGTGTTTTGAACTTGTTAATTTTCATCTTAATGAGCATCTCATCCCGTGGATGAAGCATGTTTGAATTCTTCTTTACAAGTTTGGCACACAATCTCTTAACACCTTTAAAGGGGAGAGCACTTAAGTTTCATTTTTATTTTTTGACTTTAGCTCTTTGAACTGTGTGGTCATAGTGATGCCTATAAGTTACAAAACTTGATCAAAACCTGGTGGTATGCAGACCTTTTTTTTTTTTAACGATGTGTTTTATTTACATTATGAAAGCTGAGGGTAACTCTTGTCTTCCTAAATTAACTTGTGGAAGCAAAAAACAGTGTTGAATTCAAGTGTACTACTAACACCAGGCTACCTAAATTCTTTACAGGGATTAATACACTGCAACTCCAAGAGAGTTATTAGTTTTGTTAGTCTTTTTTTTTTAATTATGCTGATTTAAAATATTAGCTAAGAAGTAGTATGTTAAACAAGAGAGTTTTGTAATGAAGGAATCTATCATAATACCCAATCATCAGATATTTTTCTCAGTCTCTGCTTCAGCAATGAAAATTCTTCAAAATAAGCTGTTCTTAGCATTAAATGTATGTATATCCCCCAACTATGTTAAAGGTACACTTTCAAGAGAATCTTGGTTTTGTTAAGACAAGATTTTTGGAAAACTTTAATCTTAGGATAATTTACTTCACAATGTTTAAAGAGGAAGTATTTAAAAAAATTCACCCCTAATTTTGTGATGCAATGCAACTGCATCCTAGTTCATGAGAACTTAGAATCACAAATCGTCAGGGTTGGAAGGACCTCTGGAGATCATCTAGTCCAATCCCCCTGCCAAGGCAGGGCCACCTAGAGCAGGAGACACGGAAATGTGTCCAGGTGGGTTTTGAATGTCTCCAGAGGGAGATTCTATGACCTCCCTGGGCAGACATTCCAGTGCTCTGCCACCCTCAATGGAAAGAAGTTCTTCCTCGTGTTGAGATGAAACTTCTTATGTTTTAATTTATGACCATTGCTCCTCATCCTGTCACTGGGCACCACCAAAAAGACTCTGGCACCATCCTCTTGGCACCCGCCTTTGAGATATTTATATGGAATAATGAGATCCCCTGTCAGTCTTCTCTTCTCTGGACTAACCAGGTCCAGCTCTCACAGACTCTCCTCATAAGAGAGATGCTCCAGACCCCTCATCATCTTTGTGGCCTCTGCTGGACCCTCTCCAGTAGTTCATTGTCTTTCTTGTACCGAGGAGCCCAGAAGTGGACACAGCACTCCAGATCGGGCCTCACTAGGGCCGAGTAGAGGATGAGGGAGATCACCTTCCTCAACCTACTGGCCACGCTCTTCCTGATGCACCCCAGGATCCCATTGGCCCTCCTGGCCACAAGGGCACACTGCTGGCTCATGGTCAACTTGTCATCCACCAAGACTCCCAGGTCCTTCACCTCAGAGCTGCTCTCTAATAGGTCAGCCCCCAACTTGTCCTGCTACTTGGGGTTATTTCTCCCCAGGTGCAGGACCCTACACTTGCCCTTATTGAACTTCATTAGGTTTCTCTCTGCCCAATTCTCCAGCCTATCAAGGTCCTGCTGAATGGCAGTACAACCACTCCCCCCAGTTTTGTATCATCAGCAAATGCAACTGAAGTGCATGTACACCAATGCATGCAGTGTGGGTAACAAACAGGAGGAATTAGAAGCCATTGTGCAGCAGGAAAACTATTACATAGTAGTCATCATGGAAACATGGTGGCATGACTCGCATAACCGTAATGCTGCAATGGATGGCTATAAACTCTTCAGAAGGGATTGGCAAGGAAGGAGAGGTGATGGGGTAGCCCGGTGTGTTAGGGAGTGTCTCAATTGTCTGGAACTTAATGATGGTGATGATAGAATCAAGTGCTTTTGGGTAAGAAACAGGGGGAAGGCCAACAAGGCAGATTTCCTGGTGGGAGTCTGTTATAGACCATCCAACCAGGATGAAGAGGCAAATGAAATATTCTATAAGCAGCTGGGAGAAGTCTCGCAATTACTGGTCCTTGTTCTTGAGGGGAACTTGAACTTACCAGCTGTCTGCTATAAATATAACACAGCAGAGAGGAAACAGTCCAGGAGGTTCCTGGAGTGTGTGGAAGAACTCCCTGACACAGCTGGTGAGTGAGCCAACCAGGGGAGGTGCCCTGCTGGACCTGCGGTTTGCAAACAGAGAAGGTCTGGTGGGTGATGTGATGGTTGGTGGCTATCTTGGGCACAGCGATCATGTGATGACACTTTGATTCTCAGACAAGTAAGGAGGGGGGTCAGCAGAACTGCCACCTTGGACTTCCAGAGGGCAGATTGGCCTATTTAGGAGGCTGCTTGAGAGAGTCCCTTGGGAGGCAGACCTGAAGGGCAGGGAGCAGAAAGAAGCCCCCATAATCCAGGAGGGAATGGTCAGCAACCTGCTATGCCACTTAGACCCTCACAAGTCCATGGGCCTGGATGTGATCCACCCAAGAGTACTGAGGGAGCTGGTGGAAGATCTCACTAAGGCACTTCCAATCATTTACCAGCAGTCCTGGTCAACCGTGGAGGTCCCAGGGCCTGGAAGTTGGCAAATGTGACACTCATCTATAACAAGGGTCAGAAGGAGGATCTGGGAAACTACAGGCCTGTCAGCGTGACCATGATGCTGGGAAAGGTCATGGAGGAGATCACCTTGAGTGCCATTATGCAACACATGGAGGACAACCAGGGAATCAGGTCCAGCCAGCATGGGTTTGGGAAAGGCAGGTCCTGCTTGACCAACCTGATCTCCTTTTATGATAAGGTGACCTGCCTGACGGATGAGGGAAAAGCTGTGGATGTTGTTTACCTGGACTTTAGTAAAGCCTTTGACACCATTTACCAGAACATTCTCCTGGAGAAACTGGCAGCCCATGGCTTGGACAGGTGCAGTGTTTGCTGGGTAAAAAACTCTCTGGATGGCCAGGCCCAGAGAGTGGTGGGGAATGGTGCTGCATCCAGCTGGCAGTCACTCACCAGTGGGGTTCCCCAGGGCTCAGTATTGGGGCCAGTCCTGTTTAATATCTTTATCAATAATCTGGATAAGGGGATTGAATGCACCCTCAGTAAGTTCCCAGACAACAAGTTGGGCAGGAGTGTTGATCTGCAGGGCAGGAAGGCTCTGCAGAGGGATCTGGACAGGCTGGATCAATGGACTGATGCCAATTGTATGAGGTTCAACAAGACCAAGTGCCAGGTCCTGCATTTCCATCACAAGAACCCCCTGCAGTGCTGAGGGCAGAATGGCTGGAAAGCTGCCCAGTGGAGAAGGACATGGGGGTGCTGGTCAACAGCTGGCTGAATATGAGCCAACATGTGCCCAGGTGGGCAAGAAGGCCAATGGCATCCTGGTTTGTATTAGAAATAGTGGGGCTAGCAGGACCAGGGAAGTGATTGTCCTCACGTACTTGGTACTGGTGAGGCCCCACCTTGAGTGCTGTGTCCAGTTCTGAGCCCCTCATGACAAGAAAGACATTGAGGGGCTGGAGCAAGTCCAGAGAAGGGCAAGGGAGCTGGGGAAGGGTCTGGAGCACAAGTCCTGTGAGGAGCAGCTGAGGGAGCTGGGGATGTTTAGCCTGGAGAAAAGGAGGCTCAGGGGAGACCATATTGTTCTCTACAACTCCCTGAAAGAGGTTATAGTGAGATGGGGGTCAGCCTTTTCTCCTAGGTGACAATAGAACAAGAGGAAAGAGCCTCAAGTTGTGTCAGGGGAGGTTTAGATAATATATTAGGAAAACTTTCTTAATGGAATGGATTATGAAGCATTGGAACAGACTGCCCAGGGAAGTAGTTTAGTCACCATCCCTGGAATTGTTCAAAAAACATGTGGATATGGCACTTGACGACTTGGTTTAGTGGTAAACACAGTGGTGGTGCTGGGTTATAAGTTGGGCTTGATGATCTCAAAGATCTTTTCCAACCCTAAGGATTCTATGAAACTCATTCAAAACTGACTATGAGAAGATAAAACATACCATCATTGTTCGGTTTAATGGGATAAATACTAAGGGTAAAAATTAATTATACCTTTAAAAACTGATTTGAGTAGCAATCCTGCAGAAAACAGTTTGAAGAAGTTGGAATAATGAAGAAGTTTTGCATCTGTGTATGAATAATAAGGTTAATCATAATGTTGCAGCCTTTTTAGAAGCAGTGTGACCATTGACAGAGATAGTTATGAACAAGGATTATTAAATCATAAAATCTAAAAATTTTATAGTTTAGTTTTTTTCTTAGTTTTAGGATTTTGTTCCTTAAAAATTATGAATACCTACCAGATATTGTATATTTACAATATTTGATTCTACTAAATCAGCAAGCATAGACTTGAAGGCTCACTGCACGTATACTCAATTTAAGGACCATTTTTTGAGAAACTTGAGAATCACAGAATGGTTTAGATTGGAAGGGACCTTATAGATCGTGTCATTCCAACCCCCTGCCATGGGCAGGGACACCTTCCACTAGACCAGGTTGCTCCAAGCCCCATTCAACTTGACCTTGGACACTTCCAGGGATGGGGCATCCAAAGCTTCTCTGGGCAACCTGTGCCAGGGCCTCACCACCCTCACAGGGAAGAATTTATTTATTCCTAATATCCAATCTAAATCTACCCTCTTTGAGTGTAAAGCTACTTTCTCTTGTCCTATCACTACATGTCCTTGTCAAAAGTCCCTCTCCAGCTTTCTTGTAGGCTCCCTTCAGGTACTGGAAGGTCCTCTAAGGTCTCCCTGGTGCCTTCTCCAGGCTGAACAGTCCTAATTCTGCCCTCATAGGAGAGGTGCTCCATCCCTCTGACCATCTTTATTACCGTCCTCTGGACTCGCTCCAATGTGTTGATGTCCTTCCTGTGCTGGGGACCCAGGTTCTAAATTCTTAAGACTAATTGTTTGCGTATGCTTTTTCATCCAATCCATTTTATCAGTATATGTACTAATTTCAGTTTTTATTTTATCAAATGTTCATGTTCCTAACGTTTTTGGGGCTTTTTTTATCATTGTCACTTTAGGATGGCGATCCTTCAGTAAAGAATGCTGCATCTTTTCCCTTGAGGTCACCACAGTCAGTCTGCTCTCCAGCTGGAAGTGATGGAACCCTTAAAGGTAATCTAGCAGTCATGTATATCAATGTATTTTTTTCCTAATTTAAAAAACCAGAGTTTAAAGAGGTATTTAGTTAATTCTCCCAACTTGTGTATTCCAGTAGTACTAAAGTGTATGTCATTAAGTTATGGATACAAAATTATTTTGATCCCTGATTCAGAAGAAATTTTTGAAGTTTCAAAAATTGACTAATCATACTTCAAAACAAAGCTCAAATTCATGGAGGACACAATAATTTTAAATCCTTTCCAATATGAGGATTAAAAGATAATAATTATTTCAGTTGCTCTACATAAATAAAAATTTAAAGGCAGCATTACAAGTATTGAACTCTTAACCAGCTCAAAAGTGTTTTAACATGCAATGCTTGTCTTGATTGCAATCATCAAATTTTATGAATGTGAAATTAAAAGTAGTTCAATGAACACAATATAACATAAATGAAGCCTGAAAACCTTAGCTGTGGAGAAGGAATAGGGTAAACTGTCGGCCAGATGAGAAAATAATTCTTTATGCTAAAATATGTAATGCATACTGCTGTTTTTAATATTATCCCTAAGAAGCAATGACTGAGATAGATGAGATTTAGTAAGGTAGGGGTTTGGACACATTCTTACTAATCTAGGTTTTCAGTGTTTATGTATTTACATGGCACTAGTAAAAAGATGCAACAGTGTTTTCTTCTCTTTAGCCTCCCAAAAAAATTAAGTCTTTGTGGGTGGTCAGGTTAGGTGGAGAGGGAGAAGAGGAGATGGGGGAGATTCCAGAGAAGGTGAGGGTATTGGGCTTGTGCAGCTGGGATAAGACAAGTCTTTGAGGGGGGACAGGGATGATGATGACAGGGACACAGACAGGATGACGTACAGTGGACAGACAGACCTTAAAGCAGTCTCCTCATACCTATGAGAAGATTATCAGGAAGACCTAAGTCAGGCTTTCCACAGTGTTGTGGAGGAAGGATGAGAGACAATGGACTTATACTGAAATGGGAGGTTCTGACTAGGTAGAAGGAAAACCTTTTTCACTATCAGGACAGTCGAGCATTGGAAAAACCCAGAGAATCTGTGCATTTTTCATCCTTGGAGGTTTTCAAGACCAGTCTGGATAAAGCCCTGCATAACATGGTGTTGTGGTTTAGGAATGGTACTCCCCAATTCAGTGCCCTCACTGAGACTCTCCAAACCACGTGCCACTTGCTTGCTCCCCCATTTTCCCCTCCCCCTCCCCCTGCAGCAGGCTGGAGAGGACAATATGAGGCACAAAAGGTAAAGATCATGGGTTGAGGTAGGAACAATTTACTGGAAACAGCAATAAGATAAGAAAATTAACAGTAACAGCAACAATACTAATGACAGAGTATAAGAAAAGAAACGATTCACATGGAAACCACCCAATAATAGACAATACCGGACAGCTCCCTCAGCCATGTTCTCTCCACTGGAAGGAACCCCTTTCCGCTGGAAGACGGAGTCCCCTTCCCCTGCCCCTGGCAATGACAGGGCATGGTATAGAATAACCTCCAGGTCCCGGCCACGGCCCCTCCTGGCTACTGCAAAAATTAACCCTGTCCTGGCCAGAACCAAGACAGATGGTTTTGCTCACCCTGCTTTGAGCATGAGGATCAACTAAAGGCCTCCTGAAGTTCCTTAATGTGCTAGTTTAAAAGTAAACTGACAGGAGAAATGGCACTGGCCACCAGAGCTGCACCGGGGGGCCACGCACTGGTCGCCGGAGCTGCACTGGGGGGCCACATGCTGGCCGCTGGGCTGCCCCGCGTGACCGCCGGTAAGGACTGCGCCCTTGTGGGAGAGGAGAGGAAGAACTATGGAGCACACAGAGGTTTCCCAGTACAATTTAGGGGAGGGGAAGAGTGTCAGGCGGGCCGTGGGGGTCCTCAGACCGGCGGGAGGGCGAGCAGGGCAGTCCTGTATGGAGTGTCACAGGTGAGCAGTGCGAGGGAAGATCTGTGGTAACACGGTGGGGGGAGGATAAGACCAGGGTGGATAGTGGGTTCTTCTGGGGGGTTGGAGGGTTTTGGCTGGGCTGGGGCCATGGGAGGCACCCGAGCCCCGGGTGGGTGCAGGGGCCGAAACGGTTTGTTTTTGGCTCACCTGCAGCTACTGCCCAGGTTCGGTTTGTTTAGGATTTATTTATTGCGTCCCGAAAGGATGGTCAGGACAGAGGGATGTTCCTGGGTATTTCCCTGGGTTTGAGTATAGATGGGTGGAGAAAAAGTAGGGAATGAAAGGCTTACCCTAACCGTTTTGAGTGGGAAAGAAGCCTGTGTACACCTACACAGTTGCAAGCTATGCTGGAGATGGTACATGCCTTCAGTAGGGTCTCCCATGCCAGACAGGTCCAAACCAAAGGATCAGATAAAATCTATCCATGGACAGGATGAGCTCGCTAGCCTTCTGGCAGTCATCCTAGGAGAAGGACAACTCTAATTCCAAACCTGGGCAGATGGAGCTCGCTTAGCCCTGTAAGACCATCCAAGAGAAGGACACTCTAATCAAACCTACCTCCTAAGGACCTCGCTGTCAGCATCCAAGCTTGCTAGGCCCTGACAGATGAACCTTAGGATTAAAGAGTGGGTCCAGTTCTGCACATGCTGCGTCTCACCTAAAAAATCCATTGTGCAGGTTCGAGGGTGATATCCACATTTGTAAAGCCCTGTAGTAACAGGCAAGGGTCGAAATGGCAGGTGATAAGGTGCACTGGAAGCCACAGACCCAACCCTGCATGCAGGCAGTTCAGGACATTGGTCGCTAGAGACTGACCCCGGAGATGACAGTCTCTTCGGGCAGCATCCTGAATGTCCAAGCAGCCTTTTTCAAGAAGAGCACTGCTTACTCCACTCAGAGAGGGGCCTAGAAAAGGTGGCCTAACCAAAGCTCATCTCCACCCTTCACCCGGTTGGTTAACCGCAGCCAACGGGCATCTTCTACTAATGCGATCATACAAAGATCAAGAGACAAAGGCATACACCTGCCTCCAAAGGTGTACCTAAACTGACTCTAGCATGTTGGAATATCAGAACCATGCTTGATTCTGCGAATAGTGGATGCCCTGAGCGTCACTCTGCCCTAATCGCCCACGAACTATCACATCTCAACATCGACATTGCTGCTCTCAGTGAAGTTCGTCTCCACGAGGAAGGCAGCCTTAGAGAACACGGCGCCGGTTACACACTCTTTTGGTCAGGTAAACCCAGAACTGAAAGGCATCTTTCAGGAGTTGGCTTCATGATTAAAAACTCCATTGTCCCTAAACTCGAAAACCTGCCGACAGGTCATTCGGACCACGATAATGGTCGCCTTCTGCTAGAATTCTGTGCAGAGCAACAGCTCACCATCACTAATACTCTTTCAGCAGAAAAATAGTCTGAAGACAACCTGGATGCATCCTAGATCTTAGCATTGGCACCTCATTGATTACGTCTTGGTGCAACGGAGAGATGTCCGCGATGTCCATCATACCTGCGTGATGCCTAGTGCAGAATGCCAAACAGACCATCGACTTGTGCACTGTAAACTTCAATCTTAAGTCCAAACCTAAAAGGGGCAGTATCCCAAGGAGGAGACTCCAAGTTAACAATCTCCAGTCAGCCACAGTGAGAGACAGATTCCAGGCAAATCTTCAAACTAGGCTTGAAAATCATTCCATAGATTTTATAGATCCCTGTCCTGAAACACTTTGGCACCATATTAAAAACAGCATCCAGCAGTCCTCTGAAGAATCCTTAGGGTTCTCCTTCAAGAAGAACAAGGACTGGTTTGATGAAAACAATCAAGAGATCCAGTAATTGCTGAGGAAGAAGAGATCTGCTCACCAAGCACACCTTGCACTGCCATCCCGTCACGTAAGAAAAGCAGCCTTTCGTCTTGCATGCAGCAAGTTCCAACAGAAACTCCGTGACATCCAGAACAAGTGGTGGATCAATCTAGCTGAAAAAATTCAATTATGCACCGATACGGGTGATCACAAAGGATTCTATGAGGCCTTGAAAACAGCATATGGGCCTACATACCAGGTCCAAAGCCCTCTACTCAGCACAGATGGCCAAATGCTTCTCACAGGTAAAACCTCCATTCTGAATCAATGGTCTGAACACTTTCCGACTCTTTTCAGTACCAACCGTGTAGTTCAAGACTCAGCAATTCAGTCCATCTCACAGCAACCGGTGAAGAATGAATTGGATATTGCCCCCACTTTGGGAGAAACCCTTAAGGCCATACAGCAGGTGAAAATTGGCAAGGCAGCTGGAGTTGATGGAATTCCACCCGAAGTCTGGAAACATGGGGGCCAAGCACTCCATGCTAAATTTCATGACTTTGTGGTGCGCTGTTGGGAACTAGGCGAACTACCATCAGACCTTCGTGATGCAGTCATCATCACTTTGTATAAGAAGAAAGGAGTTAAATCTGACTGTTCAAATTACCGTGGTATTAATCTGCTCTCCATTGCTGGCAAAATCCTGGCAAGAATATTTTTGAACAGACTAATACCTGGTGTAGCAGAAGGAATTCTACCTGAAAGCCAATGTGGTTTCAGAGCCAACAGGAGTACCACAGACATGGTATTTGTTCTCAGACAACTGCACGAGAAGTGTAGGGAACAGAACAAAGGTCTCTATGTAACCTTTGTTGATCTCACCAAGGCTTTCGATACTGTGAGCAGAAAAGGTCTATGGCAGATTTTGGAACATTTAGGATGTCCCCCCAAGTTCCTTAAAATGATCATCTCACTTCATGAGGATCAGCACGGCCAAGTCAGATATGGCGATGCACTTTCTGAACCCTTCCTAATAACCAGTGGTGTGAAACAAGGCTGCGTTCTTGCACCAACCCTATTCACAATCTTTTTCAGCATGATGCTCCAAAGGACCACGGCAGACCTCGATGATCAGGATGGTATCTTCATTCAGTATCATACTAATGGAACCCTATTCAACCTAAGGTGACTGAAGGCCTGTACTAAGACCTTAAACCATCTTGTCC